AAATGTCGGGACGCTCAAGTGTCGGTCGCTCAAGTGTCGGGGTCGCTCAACTGTCGGTCGCTCAAGTGTCGGTCGCTCAAATGTCGGTCGCTCAGATGTCAGTCGCTCAAATGTCGGGGCGCTCAAATGTCGGCGCTCAAATGTCGGGCGCTCAAACGTCGGTTAATCGTATTAGCATCATGAAATCATCTTAGATCATCTATTGCTGGGAATGGTCGATGAGCATTGACAAATTAAGCAGTGCACCTAAACTATGTATAGATATACCTACACAAACAAAAATAACTGTTTTCTATAAATGACTTTCCTGGTGATTAGCATTTGAACGATATCAGATAACCAACACTTCGTTTACAAAATAAATAACAATAACGTCTCTGTTGTCAATATAATTGTAAACTGCATTTGATTGATCAACGAATGATGAGATCAATAGTGAAAATGTTTTCGTGCCCGTTATCCATATTTTTGTGTCAAAAAGGTTTGTTTTAAATGATAGTTATTAATATTTGGCTGATATAAATGTTTTTTCTTGCTGTTCATTCTTTCTAAACTGTTTTTTAAATTTATTTTCTCTAGCGAATAAAATATCGTTTTTTTGCATGATATGAAAATAACAATCCCTATCATAAATCTTTTTGTTGCACTTATAAATTAGCAATGGATGAATTGTATATATTTATATATAAATTATTATAATAATATTTATAAGCATATATGTTTATATAGTCTACGCGCTATGGAAGCTGTTGAGCTGAACAAAATGCAAACAGAATATATTTGTATCTATTACACTGACGGGGGAACCTATGGACATGCCCACCTCCGATTCGAATGATTTCTATGTCGATCGATACAGCATAGCGAGCTATAAATCCTAAAAGAATTTACCCCCAAGGCTCTTGAAGATCCGATTTTCTGGAACACCAATTTTTCAGAAAATCTAAAATCTAACCAAAACCTTTCTTAATGAGGCATGATTGCAGTCCGCAAATTTCTGATTAAAATGAGACATCTACCAGCTCTACACGACCTTTCTTCGCAAAGTTATAGAATTTAGAAGAAAAACTCTAAATGTTCATTGTCAGCTCAAAGCTACAGGAATAAGAAATTAATTTAGGGCTTTATTTGTAAATTCTATAACTTTGCAAAGAAAAGTCGTGTAGAGCTGGTAGATGTCTCATTTTAATCAAAAATTTGCGGACTGCAATCATGCCCCATTAAGAAAGGTTTTGGTTAGGTTTTAGATTTTCTGAAAAATTGATGTTCCAGAAAATCGGATCTTCAAGAGCCTTGGGGGTAAATTCTTTTAGGATTTATAGCTCGCTATGCTGTATCGATCGACATAGAAATCATTCGAATCGGAGGTGGGTATGTCCATAGGTTCTCTCGTGAGTTTAAGCGAAAACAAGTATGATAAAATAATAGACTTATTCTTATTTTAATACGATAAAAATCATGTTTTTGATAAATACTCGGTACCATACATGGTTAATAAAATCTAGGTTAACCTTGTTCCAAATTTTTTGTTTTATTTGCTTCGGTAGTATCTCAATTTTTCTTATTTCACTGCAAGCGTTAGAATTGTGTAAAAAAAGAGCTTTTATTATTTTTGATTTTGTAACATTTATTTTTGCATTCTTATTCGACTTATCCAAAATGGTTAGTCAATTTGATCTAAACTTGATTTTCCCAAAATATAAACAGAAATAAATCCATTACAGCTATCAAAAAAGTCACTTTTCTCCGCGAAACTGCTGATAATGAACACTAGATGGAAAATATCGTGAGAAATCAGGAAAAAAAGTAATGATCATAACCATTACGTTTGATATTCTATTGTATATAATCAAAACAGAGCTCTTATCAATAGTTTTGTAGTGATAACCCTTCCATCATTCTGTTCGCGCCGGTGTTTAGTTCGAAGACTATGTTTTAATAATGTCTAATTGCTAACGTTAATTGTATGAGAAAGAAAAATCAAAGCCAATACGGCAGAAAGGAAGGCGAATATGCATCGAAATGGTTTAATCCAATGAAATTGAGGATCGGATATTATGTGCCAGTGTCAATAATGTTTGGCAATCGAGAACATCTCGAAAAATGTGTATTTTGTATTTTAATACTATGGATAATAATTTCTTTATCATCGTGTTCACAAGAAACAGTGAAGATCAGATCAATAACGAGAAAATCAAATGAATTCAATTGTATACGGACGATCTTCAGTTGGTATCATGTAAAAAATTGTTCAATATTTTCTATCATTTTAAAACCACTAATTACTATCTATAATCGACTGAAACATTCTTGTAGAACAACTCCGTTTGAAAAATTTAATCAAAATATTAATTTCTTACTAAAAATACTGGATAATAATACTCAACACTCTGTCATTCATAGTGCTTACTGCATAATAAACACTATGCATCATTTAAAACGTGATTTCCATTCATTTCGATATGGGCATTATCATTATCCTGTTATTAATTTTGAATATTATATATCATCTTCACACGCCTATTATCGTCACGATTATTTGTACGAGACATTTCATCTACCATACAGATATCATCATCAATATAGATTGTTAATATCTATTTTCAGACCACATTTGACATGTTTCAATAAAAAAGAGTTGACAAATCTGTCTTCAATAGATTCTATGTCTTACAAACAACAGTTCGACAATTTTTGTAAAGTTAAACTGTTTTCTATTAATTTATTTATTGATCAGTTTTGTCTAATGTTATATTTTTAGACATGAACAACAAAATATCATTTGCAAAGAAAACCCTATCCAGTTCTTTGTCAGAATTTATTTCAACACTCAGTTACACAATAAATCAAACGATCAACGATCATTCTCTTGTTGTTTCTTATCCGTCTCGTTATCGTCGTCAAACAACATCGTTATCAAACTTTTTAAAAATTGTTGGTCCAAAAGAAATTGTTCTTGCATTTATAGGCGATAATGTTTTGATCGATTTAAATGATCAAATATTTCCTACTGTTGACGAACTACCACCTCGTTATCGTATGAAATTTGCATGGTATAACAGCACAAACAATCTCGAATATCAAATACTTAATGGATCAATGACATTAATACCACTAATTGAAAGTAACTATACAGCCATATTTTCGATTAGTAAATCAGAAAGAAACAATCATATATTGGTACATATGAAAAATGTTCGTCGAGAAGATTCATTGAGAAAATTTATGTTTTATTATTCAGAAACAAATACTTCAACATTAGAAAAACCTGGTGAACCACGACGAATTATTCTCATGGATTATACAACAAACTTTTTTTCACCACAAAGCGTTTATATTAATCAAAATCTTTTGTTAAATGTCACAATTATACTTTACGGTGGTCATCAAACAATGCAAGGTGATGCAAATATCAATATTAACATGAATCATAAGAATAGTTCACCCGAATGTGCGAGCATACGACCAGTAGACACTCTGATCAAAAACGAATTTTATGATTCACATCCAACTAATCCATTTACATTACCAATACAAACAAAATATTTTTATTTCAGTTATCCAATTTATAATGGTGCTGGTAATATGTTACCTTGTTTCGAAAATATGGATATACAGATAAATATCATCGTACAACATGCACCAAAGAATTTGAAAACAAAAACAATAAATCTAAGACTTTTAAATCGTCCCTTGTCAATTTTTCATTCAACATGGACAAATGGATCAGTTTTTACATATGACTCAAATTCATTAACTATTTGGCCGTGTGGCGGTATTGGAATGAAAAATATCACATTTAATTGGACATTAACAACATCAAACAATTGTTTAAATAATATCGTATGGTCGGATGTTGGAGAACAATTAATTGTTAATACGAGTTCACTCAATTCATTAACATCATCGACGGCCACATTTTGTTGTTTAGCAACATATTTAAATCAAACGTTACTGAATTATTTTACGATAAATATTCGAAATAATAATACACAAGTGACTGGTACATCGAATTCTAATCAAACTAGTGCAATAGTGACAACAGGCACCACTTTAATAACAATCGTAACATCTAGTGTACCATTAAATTTTGATAGTAATAAAATACTACCACCAAATTTAAAAATAGCTACAATTATCGCTACCATCTTGGCAATGTTAGTGTTACTAGGATTTTTAGTATATGCAACTTATCGTCTAAGATACGAATTTGTTGAAAGAAATTTAGATCATGATGTTCTATATATTCATGAGTATATACATAGTCAAGATTGTGCATTGTATAATACAAATCCAAATGATAATGTTGCCGTGTTACAAATACAAAATTCATCAAAATTAATTCTAGATAAAATGGCCACGAGTACGAGTGTATGATGTAAGATCAACGTTTCTATTTTTTATTAGAAATAAATTTGAGCTTATCTAATAATTCAAACGATTTATACTGAAACAACGCGAAGTTAAACACTCCTGCTAGAAGTCGTATTTAATTCTATGAAAATTCTAGTATAAGCAATAGTACAGGATATTATATCGAGTACCCTATAAAATCCTGTCAAATTCCAGGACATTCCCTATCATAGAAATCTTAAATAATTTCCGCTACTACGATTATGATCACTAAAAATCCGACAATTCGATCTCTACCGTTGGGACGAGAAGAGAAATCCAATATACCTGGAAAGAAATTTTGAACCCTCACAGATTCTTCGCAATCATTAAAATATTTTTTTCTACCTGTTAAGGCTAGAAATTTATCTTTTGACACATATTAAGCCTTCCGAAGCCTTATTTTTGCCTATTTTGGAGCAAAATAATGCGTTCTGATATGTTTCTGGCGTTAGATTCTGATTCAACGTATTTAATTAAACAGAGTCGGATATTATTTTAGATCTGCGATTTCTGACACTATTTTGGCTCTTCTAACTCATTCACATGTATTAGTGCCGCACAATTAAACATCTTTATGCGTTTGAATGCCTTATAGTGTCGCATTAACCGAATTTATGAAAACTTTTTTAATAACCCCTTTATAATAGAAGACTACTATAGAAGGCTACTATTGAAGATTTTTTGCTGAGGTCCTCTATACGATTTTTCGCCAAAAATTGACTAGAGTTTCTCGCCAAAATGGAAGACTAGGGTGATTTTCTGTTATCGGGGGAGGTTACATGAAAAGGATCTGCAGAGGTTCAAAATTTCTTCCTGGGTAGGCTAACTTCGCCTTAATTAACACCACACAGGATACGAAATAGATAGTATTGCAGAAGTAAAATTCCACAAAAAGAAACAACTGTATGTTCATCTAGTCCTAAGGCTTTATTGATTTCTACTGGGGCGTACCTCGCATCTCAGAGCAGGAGATGGTCCTGCCAAAAATATTTTTCGTTCTTCCAGAAAAAGATGTTTTTTTGAACGAAAGAAAACCGTTTTCGCATTAAGTTCAAGCGAAGCTTTAGGGATAGTACCGAGTGAGATGTACAAGTGACTGCAATTTTTCTCTTGCTCATTAGTCTTTTGCGTGTGTCCTTCATGATACCCTAGGAGTCATTGCACGGAAGAGACGATCTGATACACTAGAGCTTGCTCAATTTTTTTTTTAAATTTAATTCTGATTTCGCCACTTTGTAGCCCTACTAAAGTTGAGTATATTCTGAAATTTTTAGCCTTTAGCGGTGTTTCATTGATCGGGAATAAATTTGTTATCTTGACACATCACTCTATTCCACACGTTTTATTACTTTTTGTATGGTCGACCATACAAAAAGTAATAAAACGTGTGGAATAGAGTGATGTGTCAAGATAACAAATTTATTCCCGATCAATGAAACACCGCTAAAGGCTAAAAATTTCAGAATATACTCAACTTTAGTAGGGCTACAAAGTGGCGAAATCAGAATTAAATTTAAAAAAAAATTGAGCACGCTAACTTGCCGCTATCGTGCAATGACTCCTAGACAAAATCCTACGCACTTCCTATCTATTTCCCACTAGGATCTTACAGGGTCCATCTACACGACTTCTAAATATTTTGAAAAGTAATATATTCGGGGTGGTCAGTCGGGAGGAGCAAAGTATTGACTGTAGCGCTATGTTTGTCAGTATAGTCAACAGCACGTCCCGTATAATCGTATCATGTTACAATCTTACTAGCGGATGCCGCTCGATATCCGATTGGTCTGTATAACCGTAATGGTAATTCTCTTTTTATTACGAAAATATTGCGAATGAACCTTGGTTTTAGATTAGATTTCTTGCGAAGCTGGGGCTCTTAGTAAAAAAAACTTAAGTCGTGATTTAAGTCTAAGTTTAAGACCGACATAAGCCGGGAACTTAAACCTTATTACGAAAAGCCTTAAGCTGGTGATTTGTTTACTTTTTGAAGGGCGTTGAACTTGGGACAAAAAACCGCAAAATAACGAAATATTTGTTCTCTAAACTTTTTTAAAAAGTTTCGTCGAATCGTATCGTTGAATGCCTGAGCTATTCGAAAAATGAGTCAATGACTTAAGTTTTCGGTCTTAACTTTAAGAGTACATTTTTTTATGACTTAAGTCATCCTCTGACTTAAGGTTTTTTTTGTAATACGGTTTGAATCTAAGATGAGGACTTAACTGTGACTTAAGCCTGACTAAAGACTTTTCGTAATACGACCCTCTGTGTCTTATTTTTATTCTCAGTAAGAAGCTGTTATTATGTGTTCAATGTTATGCTTGCTAATCAAAATAAACTAACTACGTATGGGTTATGTACAAGGTACAAGATGTATTGTTTAGCTGAACGGCATTGGCGACTCGTCAAACACGAGACGAATGATAACAGTGTTAATTGAAAATGTTAAAAAATGAAGAAAAAATATCATTACAGAGTTAATATAAAAGGTTATTTGTAATCTCTTCAGTCTTAAGAAAATTAAAAGTATCCGAAAAGTGACCATAGTCTGATTCCTCTCATGCAAGAGCTCAGTGAATAAAAGAGTTATGTTGTTTTCGTTTTTTTAGGTGGTATAACAAGATGTAACGGTTATTTGGAACGCAATTTCTAATTCATGTTCGTGTTATTTGTATTCTTATTGTTTATACCTAATTTTATTCAAACATGCGAGTTAACATTTTATAAAGACGATGAACAACCATTGTATTACATGTACGAAGGAGACAAAAGACAGATTGATGGTTCCCTGAACAATTGTTCCAAGTATTTGACAATCAAAACAATATCAACAACGAATAATTTATTAAAAAAAATGAGTGTTCAAAATGTAAATTCGACATCTGATGGAACATTTATCAATATTACTGTTCAAGCTAAACTCCTTGGTTTTGCCAATGTGACTGTTCATGTATATTTAGAGCGAAAAAATGAAACAGTATCGATCGATGAGAATTCATTAGAAAATCACGCATGTAGAAATTCATTTCCATATAAAGATGACCTGTTGAGAAATTGTCCATCGTTGATGTATGAAAATGGTTCCTATGTATTGAATAAAACAATCCAAATAGCTGTAAAACGTCGTCAAACAATAATCGATATTTTATTTACAACTATTGTTGTTGTTCTTGTGGCGATTGGCACATTTTGTATTGGCTGTGGTCTTCTAATTGAACAATTAGCATCCAACATTCGTCATCCATTACCGCTTCTTGTTGGTCTGTTTTGTCAATTTGTTTTTGCGCCCTTAGTAAGAGAATGATGATGCATTTTTATTTCAGTATTATCTGACTGATTCCGCCTTTTTTAGCTAGGCTTCGGGATTGCTCGAATATTAAAATTGGATCATCCGGTGAGTTTAGGTATTTTATCCACTGCAAGTTGCCCTGGCGGCGGTATGAGCAGCATTTATACGGCATTATTAGGTAAGGCTTATCAAAATACTACTCTAATTTATTAATTATCTTTTACTTTCAGGTGGTGATGTTGACTTAAGTATTTCTATGACTTTTGCAACTACAGCTGCAGCATTTGGTACGTTTCCTTTTTGGATATGGGCTCTTGGACGAACATTCATCGATTTTAAACTAGCGTAGGGTTATTCCTATCTCAACTACTTTCTAATCTACATTGGTTCATCGATATTTTAGAAAATTTCCATGGTGGAATATGTTTTTATCTTTAACGACATTATTAATACCTGTATTAGCCGGATTACTTACACGACGATACCGTCCAGTTATGGCTAATAGAGTGGGAAAATTTCTAAATCCAATTGGTGTTGGATTTTTAGTTTTTGTGCTAACATTCGGCGTTTATATTAACATGTATATTTTTTACCTAGTTGATTTTAAAATGATAATGGTGAGTTGTTTATTTAACACGTACAATATAAATCGTATTTTTATTATTTTAGGCATGCTGTTTTCTACCGTGGTTTGGCTTTATTGGAGGCGCTATACTAGGCCTTATAACTACTCAAGATAAAAAGAGAGCAATTGCCATTTGTATTGAAACAGGATTACAAAATACGGCTGCTAGTATCTTCTTTTTACGTCTCACATTTCCTCAACCAGAATCGGATATAGCATTAACAGCACCTTTGGTCATAAGTATGGCTACTCCAATACCGTTTATTTTAATGTTGATAGCTAAAAGCCTTTATCTAAAATGTTGTGCTAAAAAGAAGACAAATAGGAAAAATGTCTCATTATTGCAACAGAAAACCTTGACCGAAACAAAAAAACAACATGCAAAAACTTCTCACATAGAAAATGATAAAAAAGGACCGTCTGATTCTAGTCAAATAAAAAATATGGTAGAAGAAAATCTTCCCTCGTCCGAACCATATCCATTATTAGGTTAGAATTATTTATAGATTAATCTATTTTTGTTATCAGTAGAAAGTCAGTATTGATTTTTACATATTGATAGTGCCTTCCAAAGTCTTTGATATATTCTTAAGATTTTGTAAATATATAATTTCATTTATCCCATCTCTAGTTTATGATCTCTTATTCGAATTTTCTTTTATTTTATGTTTTGAAAAAGTGTCAAAGCATATTACAAATATCTAGTCTGGCATTTTGTAGTTTACTATGTCCTAATAAACGTCTAATAAAAAAATAAACGAAATATTGCTATTTTTCTTCATAATAATTATTTTAATTTACTTGTGTTTATTTCTTTTCTATGTGGGAATAAATTTGTAGACAAGAGTTTTGTCTTTCCAGTGGCATGTTTTTTGCAATATCTCAGCGCTTTTGTTGTGCTTTTTTTTTAATACTTATTTTGATGATTCTGTGAAAATCTTTTTTCAACTATGTGTTTTGTAAATCTTATTTTTGCTCATACCCTTGATATCTATTTTTTCATAAAACGAAGGCTTATATTCTCAAAAGAAAAAAGAAGAAACGCTGTTACTTTTATTATCTAATTGTTAGGTACAAATTTTGTGTGTATAGAATTTGTTTATCACAATAAAATTCTATTGCAAAAATTGATTTTAAAACCATATCTTATTATACAAAACAGCTTTCTCTGTTGGTTTTGATAAATGCGAAATGAAAACTACTTTTGAATAATTTTTATTATTATTCTTTTATTTTAGATTAATCTGTCTTATATCAGAATTTTTACAGCTGGCAACTCTAGTGGTGTAATTGAGAATACGCTGAAAAGATGTCTCGAATAAATTGTAATGGGTAAAGAACGGATCAGAATCATTTCCGTTTTTTCGAGCAGTTCTCTGTAATTTGAAGACTCCGCCCTAAGTTCATTCGATAGAGAATTTTCCGTTCTACAAGACTGTCACGTTGGATTGTCAAACAAAAAATTTCCTCTAGAGTAATATTTAAAACATCAACATATACTTAATGTTTCTAGTGCGACAGGCTTGTTCTCCCTCTTTAAAAATATGTTTCCGCTCATCAAAGTGATTTTGGGCAACTTCTTTTACATCAAATGATAAAGAATTTTGTCTTCTATCGATCTGATTGGTCTCGAAAGTTTTAGAGGTCGTATTCGAGTTTAAAAAATAGTTAAAATTATTTTGTTGCGGTGTTTTTTCAATAATTGAGATATTTCAAGTTTTTGAATAGAAACTTAGTTTCAAATATTTTTATTCTGGCATTTTCAAAGAGAGAATTCAATTCTGAACAGACGTATATGATTAGTTTTCAGGGATATTCGTTGAAAATGCACAAGACGAGAGAGCGAAACACAAAATTCAAGTTTTTCGTGCTTATGATTCTTTTCTTTACGTGATAATTGCTATCCGAGACTTTCCTCTAAAATTACGCTACATACACCAGAAAAAAAGTAGAATTCAGCGCAGAATTTTATGATATATTTGGAATTTTGATAGAATGTTTGTACGTTGCGGCAGGCTTTTTACTTTTCGGAGTGTCGCAGTAGGAACATTGAGTGTATGTTGATGTTTTAAATATTATTCTGAGGAAAAGTTTTTGTTTGACAATCCACGTGACACTCTTCTAGAAAGGAACATTCTCTATCGAATGAGATTAAAATGGAGTCTCCAAATTATGGGAAACTGATTGAAAAAAAGGAAATGATTCTGACCCGTTCTTATACGGTCCACCCATTACATGCCATGGCAAATTTTTATTCAAAATGTATATTTTTCGCTGTGCTTAAAAATAGAGAACAAATGAAAATGTCATTGCTACGTGTTTTAAAAACATCTACGCTTTGATGGTTTAACATTCAGCAACTGATAATTCTCAGGTACTTGCACAAATGATTCGCAAGTGACATTTTATGAAACACTTGCTGGTGTCTCTACACTACTTGTTAAGTAATTGACAGATAAACAAGTATCCGCTCGCAAGTACATGGACTAGAGACTTGTTCTTTTTAAACGAATGGGGAACTCATATTTTGACTTTCTTGTGTTTTATATACTTTCACTCGATGTTACTCTCTCAACATATCTGCCTGAATATTTTTGAAGTTTTTCACTCTATGTCAATGTTTTGCGGTAGTTGATGATTGCAGTCATCTTCAATTATTGTTTTTTTTGTGGTCTGTTTACTATCTGTTTCCAACATTCTTGTTGAACATAGTCTGATTTAAAATCTACTTTACTAGAGATGTCTGTCAATGTGTATGATTTAATCGGGGTTTGTTAAGTTTATGCACAATGTTATGAATAATGAGTCGGAGATAATTTAATGTTCACTGTCTTATCTACAAGTTTAA